TTCCTGCTGGTGCATCATCAATAACATTCTGTGTTAAGGGATGGATCCTCACGAGGACTTAGGGGTCTGACAGGCCACTGTAGACATGAAAGGACTCAAGCACAGTGAGCAATGTAGAATTTTATAGGCATCTTACTCTCACAGTAGAATGCACAGTCCTTAGAGAGGCATCTAGGCTCCCTATACAATACAGGAAAAAGATAGGTACTACAGAAAGTGGTCCACTAAAAGCAGTGCATTAAGGAGGGAACTGGTATCCAACGGGGAATACCAAAGAGATGGTTGTGTCTGATGTCCCTCTGCTTCTTAGGACTTAGGCACCTTATTCAAGGCTACAGAGAGAAACTACCCTCCATGTGGGATTCACAGCCTGGGATCCTCTGTGGAGAGCAGACACTTTTGCCTGTAATACAGAAAAATGGAGCAGGGGTCACTGCTTTTCTTCAAAACCCAGCCAGATGAAAACAGAGAGAGCTTGAGTATGAGTCTAGCTTCCTGGTTAGGTGTTTCACCTTGAACAGTAAAGACTTTGGTTTCAGTCCCTGCTCCAAGGACAGTTTATGTAGTCCAAGGGATAAAGTATATAGACAGCCTTTGGAGCAGGGACTTGGGCCCAGGATACCTCTGTCTCCCAAGAGAGTGTCTTGAGTACTAGGCTACAGTCATGTTCCCTCTTGCATTCACTTCCTTGGGACAGTCAGTCTTTAAATAAAGTGGAGCAGCTTCAATAGGAGGGAGTAATGGTACCTTCCTTCCTTCCTGCACAGTTTATGGTCTAGTGGTCAGGTTACTCCCCTGGAAGGTGAGAGATGGGAATTTAAATCCCCTCATATAGAATCCTCCTCTCTCACATCCTGGGTCAATGCTCTAACCACTTAGCTTTCAATAGACCCTGTCTACCCCTGGCAGCTATGTTTGGAAGGAAAGCAGTAACTTGCTTCAGCAGCCACACTCTGACAATGCCTTGCAAAGTGAACTGTTGAGAAGGGATGGGCAGAAAGCCTAATGTCTTGATTACAGTTGTACATCAGGCACCCATGCTGATCAGCCTTAATGAGGCTGAGGTGCTTCTGGGTATTCCTAGAAGCAGGATCTAAGGTGCTTCAGTAACTTTTTAAACCCAAAACTGAGGAGTCTATAAACTAATGGTTTGTCCAGGGTTCCTCGGCAAGGGACTGAGGATTTTGAGAACCAGAAGTTTGGATTTAGATCCCTAAATCCTTCCTAGGTTCCATTTCAAGGACCTGGGTTGTTTGTGGATCTGGGTCTAGGTGCCAACATTTGGGGTTGAGGATTTTGCTAGCTGTCAAAGTGCCTTAAATTTAAGCACAGAAACTCTCGGCTTTTCAGAGTCTGAGTCCTTTTGTGGATCTGGCCCCGAGTCCCAATCAGTTACAACCAGTGCAAACACACTGGTGGCTACTGCAACTACATGGCTGTCACTGAGCACATCACTGAAGAGAATGGGACTGCAAAGCCGTGACAAAGAGCAGTTATCTATCAAAAACGTTATCAAGGGCTATGCAATACACTAGCTGCAAAGAACCCAGTTTAGCTGCCAGGACACTTTTGCCTGGCACAGTTTATGGTCTATTGGTTAGGTTACTCCCCTGGAAGGTGAGTTTAAGGAACTCTGTGAGTGCACAGAATTCAAGGAAGAAAAAAAATCAATCTTCTTATAGACAGAATACATTCTTTGGAATGTATCTTCTATTTATAGGAAGATTGAGCAACTGGAGAAGGAATCTGGGATTTACCAAAAACAACGCATCAGTTAATTACAAACATCTCCTCAATCTCTACCTACATTTTAGCTCATAGATTGAGCTTGATTATATCCTAAATATACTTCCCATGCTTGAAGGCTGCATCCAGACACAACTATTTGCCCCGAGCCTGATCTACTTCTGCCCTTTGCCTTTCCAAGTGAGCTCTTGTAGCTCTTTCACTTAAGGTAAATCTAACACCCTTGTTGAAGAACCAGCTTCTGTGGCACCCTAATGTTAGAATGAGTGGGGAGGGGAAGAATCTAGTCTTCCCCACTTCCACGCTCAATAATGATTGAGCAGGATTTCAGGCCATGTGATTTGGAGAGCAATAGGATGATCATCCTGAGTGGGCCTGGGGTACACAGTAAGCATGGAGATGGGAGGCATAAGAAAAGTACCTCCACCAGCCACTCTGGTTTCCACAAATCACTCTGCTCTTGTTTGCCGGGTACTTCTAGGAAACATTTCGTCTCCTGAGGCACAATTTTTCTCTCAGACCCATGGGACACCTCCCCCTTTTTCCTTCATTATGCACATTGCTTAACAAGGAAAATTAAACCCCTGGGAACCTAGTGCCTGAACACTATTTACAAGAGCTCAGCATGGTTGGTATATTCAGTAATTGACCAAACTTTGGTGACTTACCATTCATCAAAACCTACTTTATGCTGCATCGCTATCATGTTAAGCATGTCCCACTAACAAGAGTTTTTAATGAGACAAGTAAAGACCACTATTGTAGCTCATAACTTTTACCTTACAGGCATAAAGGTCTTGGCTTTATGATTCCTAACTCCTTTATATACTTGGAACATTTAAATTGGGCAGTGCCTGTGATTAACAAAGTATGGAGGAATTATGGGGCAAATTCTCTGCTCCCCTGAACTCCCTTTCCAGTAGGGCTGTGGAAAGCCTCGTGTGCTGATTCGATTTGGAGGAGATTCAGCACAATTCAGTGGCTCCGAATGCGAATTGAATCAGGGGACCATTAAAAAGGTCCAAAACGATTTGAAGCTCTCCAATCTTTGGAAAAGATTTGGAGAGGTTTGATGATTCAGGCAGCCCCCAGTTGCTGCAGCAGGGAACTAGAGCTGGACTCGGAGCTGGTAAGTGGGGGGGGGCACTAGAGGAGGAGGAGACCATGGGGGGAGTCTCCAACCCCTGCCCACCCCCTCAGCCACCCCTATGGCTGCCCTGCTCGCCCCAACTCTGGCCCTTTAAGGGGAAAAATAAAAACCCTAAAAAAAACCCCGAACTCACCAGCTCCTGCAGCAGCCTAAGAGCTTTGTGGGGCTCGGGCCAGTGGGGGGCAGCGAGGATTGTCCCTGCTGGGCAGGAACCTGTGAGTCTGGGGTTTTGGGGGGTTGTTCCTTAAAGAACCGGAGCTGGGGTGGGTGGGGCAGCCATGGGGGGGAGGCTGAGAGAGCCCACCATGCAGCGCAGGGCAGTGGGGATCGCCCTCCCACCTGGCAGCACCCAGTGAGTCAGGGCTTTTTTTTTTTTTCAAAGTGCTGGGACCTGGGGCAGGCAGGGCAGGCATTGCCATTGCCATTTTGATTCAGATATTCAGCAGCAGCTGAATCTCTGATTCAGATTTGGCCGAATCGATTTGAGACAGTGATTCGAATCACCAAATTGAATCACTGTTCCCCAATTGGCCAAATGCAAATCCGAAGCAAATACTAGCCACCTTGCACAGGCCTATTTTCCAGCACTTATAGATTCATAGATGTTAGAGTCAGAAGGACCTCAATAGGTCATTGAGTCCGACCCTAGCATCTATGAATCTATGAACTTGGGTCTGAGGCAGATGGGGAATAGGACTCCAGTTGCTGCTGCCACTTTTCCCCACCTCTCAGCTGCAGGGTAGTACAACAAAAGCTCTCCTCCTCCAGAGCCCATGCCACATGACTGTGGCACAGCATGGGCAGAGCACCCCTCCACTGGAGACTGGAGGCTAGATTTTAGGGCACCCACTGAGGATGGAGGAGACCCAGGTCCAATTCCCATTCTCCTCCTGAGAAGATTTCCATCTGTAGCTTCCACCTCCTACAATCATCAGTACTGGCTATTTCAGGGAGGCTGTTCCCTCTCCCAATGCAGTGCCCTCACCACCAAGTTTTATGGTGATTATCATGCTCTTTCAAATGGACCCAATTAATAAGTTTGTTATACAAAGTGACAGAGTTTCATGAGGAGGAGATGAGAGGATGCCCGTTCACAATACCCAGTAGCCTCGGGGTAAGGACATTCTTTCATTAGGTGAAAGACCTTTGAAACGTGCAAGAGATTTGAATCTCTCTCTTCCACATTCCTGCCAAGTACCCTAACCTCTGCAGTGTAGGAGGGTTGCTATTTCTATCTCAGTTTTGTGAATGGTGGCAAAGTCTCATTGTGAACCTAGCCTAGGCAACTGAAAACCTGTGTTTCAGAAATATTGATATGAACCTTTTAGGATTTTGATGACTTTGCTTTCCCTTTTTTACTCTCTCAGCTGAATCAAATTTACACAAATTGGCAAATACCTATGGGTAATCTCAAATTGCAATTTTTGTGAATCTGTTATTCAGCAAAAAAATAATTTACCCAACTGTAATGTTAATATCTAGGCAATATATATATATGGAGAGAGGGAGAGAGAGAGAGAGGGAGAGAGAGAGAGATGTAGAAACAAAATGGCATGTTGAAAAACTGCTCCACATACATTTTAATATCTGCAACATCAAAATTCTTTGCATCACTCAAAGTATTTGATAAAAAATTTCAACTGTTCACCTGATTTCCTTTTTCTCCTCCTTCCTAGGTTGCTAAAAGTGAATCTACCCAGAAACTGGAACCAGGATCCCCTCTGACAATTGAATCACTCAAGCAAGAACATAACAGTCCTCACATCTTGAACTTTGTAATAATTTTCATTTCCAGGGCATTTTGCCTTGGATTTATTTCTTTTCAATGACATGGTTAAGCATGGCATATACTTTTCTTAGTAGGTTAGTACCAGGCAGCTGTTCAAAGAATAAAAAAAATATCAGAACACAATTTAAAACTGTTGTGTTGTCCTTTATTTTTAAATGGTACCTTGATGCCTTCCTTCCTGGAAGGTACATACTTTTGCACCTTCTAGATGTTTTATCTGCTTGTTCATTAACCCCCTCAAGGGATTTCTAAAACTACAGAAAGATAGTTTTTCCTGTATTCTAGCTCTCTACTCTATCATTTGTATATAACGGGTTTACATTTCTCTCCAAACATTTTTAATTTATTCAGTACAGAAACATTTTCTCCCTGATCTGTATTTTCAGTCAGTCCTGTTTGAAGATAGCAACCACAGTAGCTAACTTCCAACTACTTGTAGAGTAGCTAAATTATCATTTAAACTGCAGATTGCTGTAATCCTCTGAACCAAGTCATCAATGAATCCATGTCACTAGTTTCCCTCTACTTTATCCTGTTCCAGCGTTCACACACCCACCCCATCTTCAGAGCTAGATTCAGAGCTAAACTTTCACATCCTGAGATGTATGGATTCAGATTTTGGAATGACTTCTACCTTTGTGGTATATATTTGATTAACTTAAGGAACCTATTTTTTACATTATATCTTATAGGTAATTGCTTTTCAAGGACAATAATAGCCTCCACATTGATTCAAAGACTGTGAAAAATCCCATGATGGACCATCTATTATTATTAAGAGAGCTTCCAAAACAAGTCTACAGGATCACAGTTAGTCAGGCTGTGTACATTTTATGCAAGTACCCTTACATAAGAGATTGCATGGGCTGTTGGAGTATTTTTCTTTAATTGTTCATTTCTAGGTTTAAAATGTATGGGTTTTTAAATCCGTATTGTTGCTCTGTACATATACATACAGAACCTGAGCAGAGAAATCCTCTAGAGCATTAATTCTTTGGGGTTAAAAATATACCTCCACTTAGATCAGGCACTTCAGCTTCCCTCAGCAATCTCTGCAGTGTCAAGCTTAGGAGCATGGTAGTGCCCCTGGCTTCCCCTGCCCATGTTGTCCTTGATAGTCCATGAATTCAGCAAGGCTCCTTACTCCTCCCCCTAACCACTGTACTACAGGTTTTAGTTGCCCTGCCTCATATTTAGGTCTGAACTATACTGTGTTTTTGCAACCAATCTATTTTGGGCAAAGATTTGAAAAGTTCACACCCCAGAGCTAAAACTGCCTTCTGGACATAGCTAGGCTAACAAAATAAAGCAACCAGTTTTCAGGCAGCAAAATCTGAGATGCAGATCTACGTGCTCTGAAACAGGCCTCTGAAGCAAAGAGTAGTGGACATCACTTGCTGTTCTGGTTACTGTAGACACTATGCAGTACTGCGACACACGGATTGTTTCTGCTGAGAGGCAGAGTTAATTATCCTAAGGACAGTGCCACTTGAACACTGCTGTGCTGCTTTCCATTCAGGCAGTAGCCTGTGCCTACTTCTCAAACTGGAAGCAGCGCATATATATTCACATAGCATCAGACACCATCATCCTGCAGCCTTTCTGAAGACAGCAGGAAACTGCTTGGTACTGATTTGGGACAAGTTTTTCAAATTTTCATTTGTGTTCCAATATATACCCATGATATTCCCAACAGGTTTCTTTTAGTCACTGGAAACTCCCATTTCTAGATGCATTCAGGATAGAAACAAAAAGAGAAGAAGAGATAAACTTCTGACAGACAGCAGAGAAGACTGGGAACTAGTGCTTCCAAAACTTGAGGCTTGCCTCCTGTCATCCTTAGAGTTGCTCTGACTTGTACCCAGGATCAGGGACAGAACTATATATGCCTGACCCACCTCCCTTCATTAGTTGTGGCAACGGCTGTCAAGAATACATACTTAATTAAAAAGAACTGTAATTGTTCAAATTATTAACAACAGCAGTGAGGAAATACATCACCTCAGAGTGACATAAGTATAAGCCATACAGAAGGAAAGTGGATACAGAAAACACAAGCCATCCAAGAGATATCCCCAAATGTGATTAGACATCTCCTGGACTTTATCTTGTACTCTATGCACAGCAAACAAAACTCAGAATTAAGGTCATGGCATGTGGATAAATGTTAACTCATCTACGTACTGATGCAGCCTGGGTACACCCAGTGGGGTGCCCTGTACTCCAACGCCAGTAGTGGTGGTCAGGCAGGGTGCTGATGCATTTTCCTTTCCTCTCTACAGACCCAGGCCAAGACCAAGTGCTTAACTATATACAATTTATTACTATAATAAATATATGGTGGTGGATGGGTCATACTCAACCTGGCGGGATGTGAATAGTGGGGTCCCCCAGGGCTCAGTCCTGGGGCCCACACTGTTCAACATCTTCATCAGCAACTTGGATGAGGGGGTGGAAAACACGTTGTCCAAGTTTGCCGATGACACCAAGATGTGGGGAGAGGTAGGCATGCTCGAAGGGAGAGAGAGGCTGCAATTAGATTTAGACAGACTACAGAAATGGGTGGATGGTAATAGGATGGGGCTCAATGTAGATAAATGCAGGGTGCTGCACCTGGGGAGAAGGAATCCACAGCATACATACAAGCTGGGGAGCTCCCCCGTTGTGAGCACAGGGGTGGAGTCATTATTGACTCCAAGATGAACATGAGCCGCCAATGTGAGACCGCAGCCAGCAAAGCCAACTGCACCTTGTCGTGCATCCAAAGATGCATCTCAAGCCAGTCCAGAGAGGTGATACTCCCCCTGTACGCGACATTGGTCCAGTCTCAATTGGAGTACTGCGTCCAGTACTGGGCACTGCACTTTAAGAAGGATGTGGCCTGCCTTGAGAGGGTTCAGAGGAGGGCCACCCACTTGGTTGGAGGGCAACAGGGCAGACCCTATGAGGAGAGGCTGAGGGACCTGAACCTGTTCAGCCTCAGCAAACGGAGGCTGAGGTGGGATTTGGTGGCTGCCTACAAACTCATTAAGGGAGATCAACAGCAAATAGGAAGGGCCCTATTCTCCCCAGCAGCACCTGGGGTGACAAGGAACAATGGCCAGAAGCTGCTGGAGAATAGGTTCAAGTTAGAGATTAGGAGGCACTATTTCACTGTCAGGGTAGCAAGGATCTGGAACCAACTTCCTCGGGAAGTGGTCCTCGCTCCTACCTTGGGTAAATTAAAAAAATAGGTTGGATGAACACCTGTCTGGGGTTGTGTGATCCCAGCGTGTGCTCCGGCCAGTGCCGGGGGTCAGACTAGATGATCTATTTAGGTCCCTTCTGACCCCTAACTACTATGAAACAGATACTTAAGATAAAACATGAAATATTTACAATAAAGCTTAGCATATGACACTACGTTATCACGAACATTTAAACCGAGTGGGCTGGCAGCATGCATGATGCGTGCATGTTCAGAAACTCCCCTCTCCTGCCCTCGTGGAGAAAGGACACTGTGCACCCGGCATGGAGGAAATAGTGATCTGCGGTGTCACCATTCCCCCAGTTATATTAACAGACGTTGCCTACCCCCTAAAGCTCTGGCTCATGAAGCCTTATGGAGGGAGCATCACCGACCCGCAAAACCTGGTTTTTAACTACCACCTGACCAGTTGCAGGATGGCCATGGAATGTGCATTTGACCAACTGAAAGGACGATCGAGGGCACTTACATGCTGGCTCAAGATGAAGCAAAAAAATATCACACCCTTTGTAGTGGCAGCCTGCATGCTGCACAATATCTGTGAGAGCTGCGGAGAGGTTTTCAAGGAGTCATGGGAAGAAGCAGTGCAACAGGCAGTGGCCAGACAACAGAGACATGGGGCAGCAGCACAGGGACCGAGGAGATATCCTCAAGGAGAGGCTGGTCAGGCAGCCCTTGTGTGTGATTGTCTGGCAGGATATATTGCTGACTACAACACCTAGTGCTTTGTTCTAAAATAAATTCAGTTTTTTACGCTTTAAATCTGTGTCTGTCTGCAGGGGTGTGCGGTGTTGTGGACAGGGAGTGGAAGGGAGGAAGGTCAGGGGAAGGGGGAGGAAATCTGGACTGGGCTGCTGCTTCCAGACTGAGTGGTTTGGGGGAAGGGGGCATTACGCACCATCACCTACATCTGAATGAGCCCCCTCCCCACCACACGTGGGTGAAAAGGAGGACTATATTATAGCTCTTGGCAGGCGAGGTGGGTGGAGGAACAAGCCAAACAGCAACCCACATTTTTAAATACATTACAGAAATATTTATAAAACAATTCACAACACTTCTCCAAAAGCTGCATGTGGCACTACACAAACAGATTGACGGTGTACCTGAGCAGGGAACGGGAGGGTTCCAATGAGAGCCCCCATTGGAAACTGTATGAAGATCAATGAGCTCAGGAATGCTGGGAAATGTAGTCCAAAAACAAACAAACAAAAAAGCCAGAGACCTCGCTACCACCAACATAGATAGCAATCGCCAATCGATCAGGTGGCAACATCCACCTAACCACCCACCAGCTACCCTTATGATATCATAGCATTTATCATGTCAGTTATAGTAAATGAAAGAAAAACACACATATATTTGTAACATGGTGGGATGGGAAGGGAAAAGAATGGGAGGGGAGGATTCACGCAGCTTGTCTTTGGGATCGGGATGGGGTCTTTGGGATTATGTACTGACAGAGAGAGACCAGACTGACTGAGGATAGGCAGGTGCAAGTGACAAGGATTTGGGGGTGACCATGACCGTGCCCAGTAGAGACTCAGTGAGAGTCAGGACTGCCCAGTAAGAGTCCGGCCATGGGGTTGGGCAGCCTGGGTGGTTTACATGTGCCTCCTGCTGTAATACATTAGGAAAGACATTACAGGGGGTAAATTAGTATTTGACTCCCACTACTGAAATCGGCAGGGAATGGCACACGAGGCTTAACTCACTTGAAAGCACTGTTCGTGCAAACACAAACGCCGTATCCTGCAAACAAAAATGCACCACACCAAAAACAATCTGCATTAAAATTTTCAGGCACCCTACATTAATTCCCGTGTCATCTACACATGCCCTTAAGTGATACTGATAAAAATCCATTA